CCCCAAAACCCCAAAACCCCAAAACCCCAAAACCCCAAAACCCCAAAACCCCGTAGGTAATATTTTAAGTGGAAATAAGTGATATAATCAAGAAAAATATGTTAGACTCTACAATCATGTTAAATCCTTTGAGCATTCAGGTTGCTAGCCAATGCTATCCTGGATTTTGTTGGGATCATGCACAGCAATCCCTGGGAAAATCAACTGAAGACAACAACGACGAGAGTAAGTCCACCTGACTTTTGTGTGAAATAACCTTCGAGGTTGTTTGTTAGAATCATGAAAGTGTTTTGAGAGGCTATAATCCTGAAGGTTTAAAAATTTTCAAATGTGTTCAAAAGTTGATAACTTGGCTAGAAGTGATAAATAGAGTAGAGAAGTCTTATCATAGCACTATAGTCTGAACCTTCAAACGATTTAAAGCTTTGTTGATAGATATTCTAAATTTATACTCTCTTGTTATTAATACATTGCATAGAAAGCCATCCCTCTCTGAATAAATATTTATCAGACCAAACTGGCAACCAGAAGACTGGTGAAGCAATGAAAGAGTTGCTTGCCAAGTACTGTATTTGAATAGAAGGTCATCAAGCATCCAATCCCCAAAACAAAGCGTCTGAAGCTCAAAAGGCAGAGAGCAACAAGGACTCTGAGATATTAGTCCATGAAGAAGCTAAAAACTGTAATAGCTCCAAGAACTCTGAAGCAAACAACCCTGATGAACATAAAAGGACTGACAAGCCTACTCTCCAAGATGCTTCCAGACTTAGATCGAAGACTAAATCCAAGGCTCCGAAGCACGACTCTGATTCAGAAGAGTTCACTCTAGGAAGGGCTCAGCTGAACTACAACACTCGTAAAGATGTCGTATTCAAGGCTGCTTTCAGAAGACTTCGCAAATACTTCATCAAGGAGTTTGCCAAAGACTCAACCTCTAGCCAATTGAAGGAAGATTATCCACAAAGACTCAGAGATTATTGCAAGGCTAAGTTCCCTGAAGCCCGTCTTGACAGAGTCTGAGTAATCTTTGACTGCATCGTCAACGCTAAAGGCAGACTTGGGACGATTCCACAAGAAGACACCCAACTCAAAGATACTATCAGCAAACTGCTGTACTTCTACTCTGAGAAGAAGTTCAGACTGATGAATGAACACCCCGAGTTCTTCCATGTCCTACTATATTTCATCAGTCTGGAGAACGCGGTCAGCTTAATCTTCAATGAGCAGAGGCAAGCATTCCAACAGAAAGTCAAGGCTCATCTAAATAAACTGAAGGTGTTCGCAACCTGCATGAAGACCCCAGAAGACCAATATTAATAACTTATTTACATTTCACACAAAATCGCTTTCGTCTTCTGGAATTTTGGTTGGGATTCATGGGAAATTTCAGAAGAATCATGGAGATTTTGAACAAATAATTATTAAAAGTGGCGGAGAAATAGGGGAGAAATTGTTAGGCTAAGCATGGATTTGGTCGTCATAAGTTGGCAAGTTGACACCATCTTGCACCTCTACTTGACTATAACAACTCGTAGGCAAACTTGGCGTGTATTCTCATTAAACCTAAAGTTCATCAGTTCACTCAACTTTAATAATATTTTCAGAGGTCAAAAATGAGGGCATATGAAATCCTGAATGTTTGCAAAATTCTTTCAAATCGGAATACTTCGAGTCATGCAATTACGGAAATATGTAGATCATGATAAACTCCAGGTTGTTGACCTACCATCTTTCACATAATCGATTATTATTTTTTATATATATCGAACAATCAATGGCAAACTCAGGTTTATTTGGGAAGATGCCGATCGAAGAATGTGTCTAATAATTCCAAATATGGCTGCTAAACGTACTAATGGATTTGCTGACTAGTTTGTGGACTTCTCAGGCTCAGAAGCTCCATTATTGGTATTAAACTTAGTGTGAGGATAGGTTACTACATTTTTCCCGTCATCCTCCATATTTACTTTATTAGAGACGAAAGAAATTTTTATCAAATTATTTACAAAAAACAATGTTGTTTATTCTGTCGTAGTCGGCTGTGTTAGTGTCGTGAGCTCTAGCGAGATTAGCTCATTAAGTATATAATGTTGTGGTGAAGTCGATAAGCAGCATTTCAAATATGAGCTTGAGCTTTGATATAATGCTAAATATCCTCAAACCCTACTCCTTGTTCTTTTTTGAGTTTTGGGAGCAGTCTTATTTGGCTCTTATGTCCTACCAAACCTCAGGATTCTTAAATCTTCACCGAAATCTTAGTTCAATCAGAGGATATGGCTTAGGGGTTTTGGGGTTTTGGGGTTTTGGGG